ATAGCAGATTTGGCAGATCTGGCAGATCTGGCATATTTGGCATATTTGACAGGTTCATCAATTTTTGCCGGTTTCAATGTATATATTATTTTAATCAAATAATGTTTATTATTCATTTTGAAAGATTATTATTTTATTATTTAATTTAAATAATTTATCATTATTCTTCATAAATAAGTTTTTTTATCTTTCAAGTTAATTATTCCTTATTGTTCTTTTTGAACAATTATTTTTTTTATCATTTAAGTTGAATAATCCTTTATTATTTTAATTAAATAATACATCATTATTTATAAAGAATAGTTTTTTATTATTTAACTATAATTTTTTATTATTTATAATATTTTAGTAGACTGAATTTTATATATTATTTAAGATAATAATCTTATATTACAAATCCTAAAATCACAGTTCTAGAATTATAAATTCTATTAATATAATTAATATAGAATTACAATCTTATAGTTCAAAAGATATTAAACTGAATTAAATTTTATAGAACTATTTAGGATCAATCCTATAGAATTTTTTAACATCTCTACTATTTTTATATGCATTTAATTTTTTTGTGAAAATTTGAAATTCAACAGTCCAATATCTTATTAATTTATTGGATATTATTTTTTTATTAATTTTAAATTTCTATCCTATTATATTTTGTAATAAAAATTAAAAGATATATAAAAAAGCAGTTTAGGTTATTTTTTTCAGTATAATCATAAATACTATGCAAATTACTATTAGTTTTTTAAATGAAATTTTCTATTGGTTTAGTATTAATATTTCTATTTTATGAATTTTTTTAAATTTTTTCATATTTTTAATAATTAGTATATGAAAATTTTTATAATTTATTTCAATGACAAATATATAAATTAAATACATTAATATAAACATATTATTTAACAAATACTAGCAACTAATTAGATATGTGATAGCCAACTTTATAAATGCATTTTATGAGGAATATAATATCAGATATTTAATAAAATATCTAGAATATTTTGATAATAGACTGCTTTTTCTTTAAAATTTTAAAGATATCTATTAGAATCTTGGTAATTGAAAATTGTTTTATCTGATGCACATTCAAAACTCTTGCAGCTCAAGTCAATGTTAAAATATTCACAATAGCCTATAATATAGCACATCCTTCTGAAAAGATGTATATTATGATTAGAAAGGCAATGTATATCTTGGATTAACTAAAAGTCCTTTATTAATTATTTTTCAATTTGATATGTAAAATCATGTGATTTTTATCAGCAAATAGAATTTTAAAAAAATGATTTGCAAAAATTGGCCAATCACAATGATTCTATCACATTAAAGTGCGTTTCGATTTATATTATGATTTCAGGGGATTTAGTATTTTTAGTCATATTTGTAACGCCTTAATTTGTCACTGATGTTAACTTGTCACACATTCCAGACGTAATATCTTTATACTGAAAAAAAGTTTATTTAGACGCGTCAACATCTCATTTTTATATTTAATCAAATTTACGCATCCATACGATTTAATATCTCTAATTTGCCTTCAAAATATTTTAAATATAGTTCTAAAAATGAAAATCATTCACATATTCTAATAAATTTATACTTTGTCAGATTTTATTTCTTTCCTTATCATTTTATGATATTTCCTGCGATTTTCTGCACCAATAATTTTTTTTTCTTTTCATTTATTTATTCTCTTTCAAATTTTCTTTCGTGTATTTTTTTTAAAATATTTTGATTTTTTTATTTAGTATTTATGAATTTTAAAAATTATTTTTTTATTGAATTGATGTTTTTTTTATTTGGTTTTTTTTTTATTTTAACTTTATCTTTTATAGGATTCGCTCTATTTAATTCCATTTATCAGGTATTCAGCCCATACTGAATTTTAAAGATTGAAAATTTACGAAATTGAATAAATTAATATGATCATAGATTATATTCACAAAAGTTCTTAATGCTTATTTTATAATACTTAAGCCTGCTTCTTTAACAAATTGTTAGTAATTTAAGTGTTTTTGTTAGCATTGTGGCTCTACATTAAATTTAAAATTCGACTATTGTATTAGGAAATTTATTTTGCAAAACAAATTCCCTCTGCTTTTAACTTACAGCCAATGTTTGAAGAGTCTAATCGATTAAAATTAAAAAGTCATCTTAGAATTTCAATTACAATTCTTTGGCTCACTGAGCCATTCGTGTCAATTCAAATTGTGAAATTATGTTTAATTAGGCAATAATATAAATGGCCAGATCATATGATTTACTAATTTGTAATAGATTCTGATTATGGATATATTCTATCGCATATTATCTTTGCCAATAATGTGGAAGCTGAGGTCGTGGTCATGGAAGAGGTGGAACTCTTACATCTCGTTCAATTAAATTAATGTGGATAATATAATTATATGAAATATTTATTACCAATAAATACAATAGAATTTTTCTGCAACAAGTTCACGAATCCATTTTTTTTATCCATGGATAACCTTAGTCGGATCCTATCTTGATGATATAAATACTGAATTTTCACAATGCAATTTCACACTTAGCTTCGCTAGATAATATGAGTGAATATTATTTGTTAACTATTAAAATTTTCATCATTCATAACTTTGATTTTTCAAAAAAAAAAGGAAAATGATTGATTAATTCGCAATTAAGGTCGGAGCATTTTTTTCCATAGAAATAAAAAAGTCTTTTTTTTACAATACGTTTGAATATAAATAACATAAAAGTTTGGTACTGTGAAATTCAGCAGGTATGAATGGTACGAATTATTGGGAACAAGACCATATGTTTTTGTGAGCTGTACCATCATATTATACAGTACGATACAATTCAAATTTTGCAAAATGGAAATACCTGTAACTTTATATAATCCTGACCAAACGATTCATACCATACGGAATTTCCATAAATTTAATCGACTTCTTCAATTTCTGGTATAAAATAAATTTAATAACCGTTACTCTCAATTTTTAAGGCAAATTTTAAATTCCATATATAATAAAAAAATTTCATAACTAACATTTAATTACTTTTTGCAATTTATCTTTCTCTTGCTTCAGTATCAAAAGCACTTACGCCACACAATAAAGCCTTATTATAATTGGGTTGACAATATTTTTGAGTGAATTCTGTTTATCAGCATATTCATCCTTCTCTGCATCTTAATTATTTTCAAGCTGAATAGCATCTTCAAGACTTTCCTTTTCGATCTATTGATTAGAGATAATTTGAGTTTATAATTCAATATGTTAAGATAAAAAATTAAATGAAACTTACATAAGTGTTTTACGTAAGTTATATGCATAAATTTCTGATCCCTTTTCGTGCCTGTTTTGTGCTGGCAAATTTCTCAACAACTTCATGATATCTCTCAGCTTCAGCAATTACATATAATTTTTAGTTAGTAAAGTATTACATAAAAATATAGCTACTAAAATAAAATACTATACGTTCAATTTCGTTCTTTGACAATCGACCTTTGTCGTTTGTGATAGATAATCTTATTCGTTTGTCCAGATGTTTTATCAACGTCAGATACCTACAATTTATTAAGTTAATGCAATATTATAAATATGTCAATAATAATAATGATAATGATAGTTGAATTTTAAATGTATATGTACGTTTAAGATACCGTGTGCATCAATATCAAAGGTGACTTCAATTTGTGGAATACCTCTTGGTGCTGGTGGAATTTCAGTAAATTCGAATTTTCCAAGCAAGTTGTTATATTTAGTTTACCTTCAAAACTTAAATAAGTACTTCTGGTTGATTGTTATAATATGTTGAGAAAATTTCTGATTTCTAGTAGTATAATTGTATTACGCTAAATAGCAATGCCGGTAGTTTCAATACCAAGAGATAAAGCATTGACATAAAGTGAAAGTAAAATCTTGAGTTTTTTCTGAAGTATCACCATATAAAATAGCAGCTTGAATGGCAGCACCATAGGCTATTGCTTCATCTGGATTCTTGAATTTGTTTGGTTCTTTAACATTGAAATGCTCAGATATCATCATTTGAATCTTGGAAACACGTGTTAAATACCGACCAGGACAATTTTATGAATATACCTTTTGTCAACTTTAGAATCTCGTAGTGAATATTTAACAGGTTCCATTGTAGATTGAAATAAGTCTTGAGTCAAATCTTCAAACCTTGTACGCGTTATAAAGGTATAAAACCTGTTTTTCACCTCTGAATTCAACTCAGATATATGGTTTTCTACTTTATCGATGACTTTAAAGGGTAATGCTAATAAAAAATGGTTTGTTAATATCGATTAATCTTGTTTTTGATTATAGTCTAAAACTTCTTAGTCGCTAAAACTATAAGTCGTTTAACATTAAATAAAGTATTGTAAGGGTTTATGGCTAAATGATTTTTGGAAGTTCTGTTTCGGTAAAAGTGACATGTGAAGGCGTTATACGATTACCCTGGCTGGTCATTAACAATAATTTCAACTCTGTCATTTTGCTAAACACTGACACAGGAGTACAATATGCCATTTATCAAGTTTAAAAATTTTTTTATTAAAAATCCTTTTTTTTTTTTTTTATTCGCATTTTATGATAAATGTATTTTAAATCAAACATGAAAAATTAATTTGCTAGTTTTTTGACAAAAAAATAATGAAATAGTACCCTTTTTCTTTAAATGGTGTTAAGCCTAAACACTACGTCATTAGGATAACAAAGCTTATTTGCTAACAGGGAGTTTAAGTCATAAACTATGAAAGAAATAAACACAAATTTATTTAAGTTGAAGGGTCAGGTTGTCTTTATTGATGATTTATGTTTTTAAGGAAATGAATATTGAAAAAGGTATAGTTTTTATGTTGTTAAAATTATACTTTATTAATTGTCGATAGAAACTTGTTATCTTGTCAAGACGACAATACAGAATATTTATATAAAATACAGTTATAATAAAGAGATAATAAATATAATAGTGAAAGTAAATATAACTATATAATAAAAATAGTAAATAAAATAATGATAAACGTAATAATAAAGAAAATTAATAACTGTGATAGCAGTAAAATCGGTGAAAATGATGATCACGATTTTCCTAGTGATCATTGGTGACATTAATTGGCGCAGTCATTTAGTAACGCAAATGGGTTATCACTAACAATGGCTATTTCATTTGCTTCTAGTACAAATATAGCAATATTATTAGCTTTTCTTTAAGGTTACACAAATTTCATTGAAACTTAGCTTCTAATTCTAATTTTTTTTTTGTAAAGTAAAAACAAATTGGTGTTAAGTAATAATATCACAATATATCAAACCATATCTATCTTCATGAACCTTGGGTTATTTCATATAACATGTATGTAGTTAGAATGTAAACTACACTCATTTATACTTTGCGTCATTTTATTTTTAAAAAAAATGTTTAAATAAATTCTTGAAGCAAAATATAAATTAAAAACTACAATCGACATTACTAATGTTTAATAACAGTTTAAGTTATCAAGATTCTACAATCGTGATAAAATTCATTATTGTCATTTGTTTCAATGTTTCCTTACAATAAACTTTTAATATACAGCTTATCATATGAGAGTTTCGTCCATAAGGTGATTTGAATCGATTTTATCCAATTTGAATTAATCAAAAATTGTATAAAAATAATTTAAATCTGCTTTAATGGCGTAGCAAGTGTGAATAAGAAGAGTTTTATCAATTCATTTCTTTAAAATATTAATTTCATTTATATATTAATTAGATTTGATAATAAAAATGTGAAGTACAGGGGGGTGAAATAAATATTAAATAATTTTTATTTGATGTTTATTTATATTTATTTGCTACAATAAATTCGTTTAATATATTTAATATTTAGTATAACCTCCTTTAGCAGAAATAACTGCATAGATTTGAGAAGGCATTGAATTAATAAG